TGTGTGTGCGTGTGTGTGTGCGTGTGTGTGTGTGTGCTCTCTGCTGGGGGGCTCGGGTGCTTGTCATGTGTTTATTATCCTTTGGCAGCGGAAGTTTACAACAAAGTTGAAGGCAAAACCGCAGCACGTTGAGCGACAAAAGATGCTGCCACGCCCAGTTGCCGCCCATACACCTAAATACACAATGTGTAGATGTGTTGATGTTGTGCTTGTGTGTGCCAGCTCGTCGTTGCACTGAATAAACAATTAGAAAATCGCATAAACGCCCCATTAAATGTTCTTTTCACTCTTTTCCAAAAAAAAAACAACCGAAAGAAAAAACCCAAGAAATTCTAATCAAATTTACCAAGATGGTTTTGTTGTTGTTGTTGTTGTTGTTGCTGTTGTTGTTGTGGCCATAAATTAGCAGCGCCTGCCACATGACGCTGACAAGATGTTGGGCGTGTTGGGCTTTGGGGGCGGCTTCAGGGTTTGGGCGTGACCCAATAAATTCATCAGCCCGCTTCAGCGGCTGCGGCTCAAATCAGCAGCAGCAGCAGCAGCAGCAGAAGAAGAAGAAGAAATATAAACGCTTTACTGGGCGCTGCGGCTAAATATTTAAGGCGGCGGCATGCCCACTGCGGGCCAGGCACACGGCCTTTTAATTGAATATTAATAACAAAATCCTGCATATTATATAAGCAGAAGCGCCCCATGTAAAGGATCAGCAAAGCGCAGGTCCTTGACGGTTAATATATGCGCATGTCTCTGTGTGCGTGTGTGTGTGTGTGTGTGTGTGTGTGTGCGTGTGCGGGAGCTGCCATTGTATTTGTGCGCCGGCGAGTTAGCGAGGTCCTGCCACAGTGTCCTGGCATGTCAAACGTTAATATAATCAATGGTAACTCAACTCGATTCAACTCGATTCAACTCGATTCAACTTGATTCAATGCGATTCCATGCGATTCAATTCGCCTCAACTCACTTCGCATTGCAAATGCCACCAAATGTGCGGCACAAACTCAATTATCGGGCTGTCTCCTCCGGTGGCGCCTCAAATGGCCATCTGAGGATTAGATTAAACATGTTCGCTTACGTATCCATACGCAGCTATGGTATTTTAAAAGTCTTGAGCAATATTTGAAAGAATTAATTAGACTTTAACTTTATTACTATTTATGTATACATATATCATATTTCTGATCATTGTAAGACACGATCTCAGAGATAGCAACAGCCAGAGCCAGGAAAATTGGTGTGCTATCATTTTGTGTATATTTTAAGATATGCCAATTTCTTTTGGTTAATTCTATTATAATTTAGGTTTATATAGTCATTTCCATGCTAATCTATACGATCTCATATACTATAATAGCTAGAACCCTGAAAATTGGTATACTATCACATATTAGCAAGAGTTTTCTGGTTAATCTTAGATATGCTAATGCCTATTAGTAAATTCTATTATAATTCCGATTTTCTCTTTAGTCTCTTGCACACATCAGCTCATCCCTACGATCTCTGATTCTCTAATAGCTAGAGCCATAATCTTTGGTATGCTCTCAAATATTAGCAAAAGTTTACTGCCTATCCAAAAAATTCACAACTTGTTGCAAATTCTATTATAATTTAGGTATTCCTTGACCTATCCGTATGGCCATTCGCATGCTCATCTCTACGAGCTCAGTTCCTATCAAAGCTAGAGCCATAAAATGTTGTATTCTATGAAATGTCAGCTTTAGTTTCGTCTTTCACTTGTTTGATAAGTTTTGTATCTGTAGATAAAGATTACTTACGTACTGCTCGATCCAGTGGCAGGGCGACATGGGATCTTTGGGATTGGAATAAACAGATTGACTTCAAGTTAGAACATTTAGGCAGCTATGCTAGTTAATTCAGCTTAATCGTTCAAAATCTTCAGGTTTGCCAAAAGGAAATCTTCAAAAAACGGCTCTCGAAGAAAATGGTTCTATGTGAATACATGGAACCGAGTTCAGAAGGTATTATAAATTGATCGTCGGCCCCTCAGTCTCTCCGTCTCTCTGTTTCTATGCCAACTAGTCCCTCAGTTTTGTTGAATAATTAAATGTAAATTCCGTTGACTATGAAAAGTTGACTTAACGCAAGGATAATGCCATAAATGAAAGCTGTATCTGTTGACAGTCAACTTCCATATTATTATGGTCTAAAATGTAGGACAGCCATTAAAAGGCAATTCCAGATGAAGCGGCCAACACGCAACACGAGACACCAAATGGGAACAGTGAAAACTGGCATGGGAATGGAAATGGGAATGGGAATGGGAAAGGAAACCCATTGAGCCATTGAGGCCATGTAGTGGTTCAGTAAACTAGCCAAAAGACCCAAATAGTAGAGGGGGGGGGGGGGGGGTGAAAAAAAAAAACGCAAAAGTTATGTGTGTGTATAAAATCATGTCGAGTCATTTCCTGCTGGAGAACTTTCCACCGCACAGGACCTAAAGAGACCTAAAGACCAAAAAACCGAATAGAAAAATAGAAAAATAGAAAAAAAAAAAAACAAAACAAAACCAAACAAAACTAAAATAAATATGAATAAAAATAAAATGAAATAGTCCGCTCTAGGCATGGCATTTAATGCTCATAAAAATTGTATTATAATTTTAAATAATTTAGACGAGCATATTGCCAGGGGCGCAGACTGAGCGGAGGGGGTAGGGAGGGGGCCGTCCGCTGGCTAGCTATCAGACGACGGTCATGCAGGAGCCCCGACCCAGACCCGCTGCCAGGGCCGGCACGCACACACACACACACACACACTGGCCGGCACGCACACACACATGGCAAAAGTGCAAACGCCGTAAATCATGGCCCAGGTAAACACACAAAACGCAAAACGAAGGAAACGCAACAGAAAAGAGTAGCAAAAAAATAAAAAAAAAAAACAAAAAAAAAAAAAACAAAACGTGCGAAGCAACAACGAAAATGAAATAAAGGCAAGAGCCAAAACTGTGTAAAGTTTGTAGCTGGCAATTGTGTGGGTACGTTAAGCGTTTGCAAGGGGAGTGGGGAGGGGGGAGGGGGTGGGGAGGTAGATTGCCCTCTGTTCGCTGCTGCAGCGCGTTTTGCACGCGTTTCGGGCGCGACTCCTGCAGCAAAAGGCGCTAACTTGATGGAATCGTTAGCATTACCGTTAGACGAGACAGTTAACACCGCAGCAACATATGGTGTGTGTGTGTGAGAGAGAGTAAGAGAGAGAGAGAGCAAGAGAGAGAGAGGGAGAGAAGCACCAAATCAAGCCATGAAAAATGATGGCCATAGATAGCCAAGTTTGTAGCGCTCGCCACGTACGTACATAGTTTGTGCCGTCAGAGCCCACCCCAAAGGAGAAATCCCCCCGAGCATGCATTAGAAATGTACCGCAACACAAATAACCATATTATTACGTATAGATTACATACACATACATACATACATGCCTCTGTGTGTGTAAGTGATGAGTAACTATTTACCTAAGCTATAAATACCGTTGTTTACTTTGACCTTTGGCCAAGATACTATTATATAGAATTTGGATTTATGACTCAGTATTAAAATAAGTTAAGCAAAATGCGACTTAAGCCTCGAGAACCCCCCTTACCATAGACCTTATAGGCTATCGCATTCGGAAATATATAGAAAAAAAAGGGTATTAAATGTTCGCTCCTCGTTCTTCTTGTTATTTATTAGCATTAAAGTTATGTTGAGAGCATATGTATGTATATAAACATGTGCTTATAGTGCGTGCAAAATAAAAGAGCGAAAAAAAAAAACACAAATGCCAAGGTCAGACCACATAGCGCCACACACAGTCGAAATGAGTGCTGAGCTGATGAGGACTGAGAGTGCGAGTGTGTGTGAGTGTGCATGGGTGTGATGTAGATGCACACAAAATCGCTGCCTATATGCAAGAGCATTTGTGCAACAACAACAAGAAGAACAAGAACAGCAACAAGAACAACAAGAAAAAGCGCGCGAGCCCGAATATGTTTCAATTTCACAGCTGCAGCGAGGGCTACCATTTACAGTAACAGTTACATTTACGGGTTACAGTTATGGTAGCAGCCGACGCGCTGACTGCCTGCAGTTGATTGCTTGCCTGACACTCACACACACACACACACTAACACACACAATATCACGCACACTCATATGCGGAGCTAAGCCTTGTGCAGTGATTTTTTAGCCGTTTTTTTCTCTTATTTATTTTTTGTTGGTTTTGCCGCTGTCGCTTGTGTGTTTGCCGCTGCTTTTCACAAATTTCACGCATTTCTTTTTTCTTCAATTTGGTTAAACTTGACCCACAAAAGTTGTCGCCCGGCCGCAATTTGCCTAAAAATATGCAACGAGCTGTGCAACGGCAACGGCGGCAGCTGTTAATGAATATTCCATGTTCTGTGGCTTAAATTGGCCGACATTTTGCCAGAGCTGGCAGCGGTCGTGCTCAATTAAAAATGAACTGCAACTAATTGCATTTGCTGGTAGTTAATTAATTAATCAACTGTCAAATAAGGCGAGAAATAAAAGTGTGAAGAGAATTTGAAAGATAAAAATAAATTCAATTAAATGATCAGTGTGCACTGCTTGCAGTGAGCAATTCAAATGCACAGCTTTCACACTGCTTACGCTGCTGAATAACAGCAATGTGAGTGGTTGCGTGTATAGCCGTGTGTACTGCTTGTAAGTGCACTGCTTCGTATTTATGTGTGAATATAACAGTTAGCAGTGCCGCTGTAAGCCGATTGTTACAGTTCGCTGGTTTGTGCGTCGACTAAGCAAAGACACACACCTATAACCATTGTGAATAGTGTATTTAGAAGGTTTGAAACTAAATATATAATTATCAATGCATCTAAAACTGTATGACCTGAGCGATTTTTTGATTGACTGATTGATGATCTATGCAGCGCCCAAACCTTGAGAGCTAGAAAGCTGAAATTTTGAATTGAAAAAAATGTTGGAAACTCAAAAACTGATGAGGTTTTTATTTTTTCCCTCTTTTTGCAGCACGTCTGAAATCAGTTGCAACGTGTAGAATGAAGATGATGCGTGGCAGTCGTGTCAGTCGTGTCAGTCGCCGGTTGCTGTTGCCGCCACTGGCGACCGTGCTGCTGCTGCTGCTGCTGGTCGTGCTGCCCGGCGGCATTATGGCCAAGTCGAAGAACAAGAACAAATCCAATCAGAATACACACTACGGCGACTCCGGCGGCGGCGGCGGCAGCAGCAGCAGCAGCAGCGATGACAACGGCAACGGCAATGGCAACGGCAACAAGCTGAAGGGGCACGGCGATGGCGGCCAGCATTTTGCGATGGAGCCGCAGGATCAGACGGCCGTGGTTGGGTCGAGGGTGACGCTGCCATGTCGCGTCATGGGCAAGGTGGGCGCACTGCAATGGACCAAGGATGACTTCGGACTCGGCCAGCATCGCAATCTGAGCGGCTTCGAGCGCTACTCGATGGTCGGCAGCGACGAGGAGGGCGACTTTTCGCTGGACATATACCCGCTGATGCTGGACGACGATGCCAAGTATCAGTGCCAGGTGGGGCCGGGTCCCCAGGGCGAGCGCGGCATACGTTCACGTTTTGCCAATCTGACCGTGCTGGTGCCGCCGGAGGCGCCAAAAATCCAACAGGGCGACTATCTGGTCACCACAGAGGATCGCGAAATTGAGCTCGAATGCATCTCGGCTGGCGGCAAGCCGGCCGCCGAAATCACCTGGATCGACGGGCTGGGCAATGTCCTTACCGCCGAGAGCTTCTTCGAGCCGATGGCCGATTCGCGGCGCGTCAATACCAGATCGGTGCTGAAGCTGGCGCCCAAAAAGAAATATCACAATACGACGATCACGTGCCAGGCGCAGAACACGGCCGATCGCACCTATCGCTCCGCCAAGGTGCTGCTGGAGGTCAAGTATGCGCCCAAGGTGTCCGTTTCGGTTGTGGGCGGCGCCTTGGCCGGCGGCCGTATACCCGAGGGCGCCGAGGTCATACTCAGCTGCCAGGCGGACGCCAATCCGCCGGAGGTCAGCTATCGTTGGTTCATCAACGATGAGCTCATCACCGGCGACTTTACCACCAAAATGGTATGTCATCAAACATATTTGCCATGCCCCATTTTCTTTACGGCTCTAATCCGTCTGCTTATCCCGTCCAGATTATTCACAATGTGACACGCAAATATCACGATGCCATTGTCAAGTGCGAGGTGGTCAATGCCGTGGGCAAAAGCGAGGAGAGCGAAACCCTCGACATAAGCTGTAAGTACGGCCGGAAACGGAAACGGAACCGGAACCGAAAACTAAACATTGCTTCACTTTACAGTTGGACCCGTTTTCCGTCAACGTCCGGTCAGCAAGGAGGCGGATCTGGGCGCCACAGTCACCATGCGCTGCGAGGTGTCGGGCAATCCCACGCCCGAGATCGAATGGATCAACGAGAACTCGGATCAGGTAAGGATCAATTTATAGCCAAACTGTAGACAAGCTAACTAGAACCATGTCCACTCGCTCTCAGGTCGTTGGACGCGCACCGGAGCTGAAGCTGAAGGTGAGCAGCGAGACAGCCGGCCGCTACTTCTGCAAGGCGGTGGTGAACGGCTTCCCGGAGATTGGCGCCGAGGCGACCGTCTATGTGAAGCGTGCGCCGATCATCACCTCGCACAAGGTGCAGTTCGGCGCCGTTGGCAGCCGGGCCAAGATCGATTGTCTGGCCTTCAGCATACCCAAGGCGGAGCATATACTGTGGTCCTTTGAGGGCAAGCTGATCAACATGAGCAGCGCCGATCCCGACATCTATATATTCGAGGAGCATCATCTGCCGGAGGGCGTCCGCGCCGCGCTCATCATCACGGAGAGCCGCTCCACGCACTATGGCAAATACAATTGCACGATCATCAACTCGTACGGCGGGGATTCGTTGATCATCACATTGGTGCCGGAGCCGGGCAGCATACCCGTGCCGCTTGTCGTCATGGGCTCCATGTCGCTGGTGGCCATTGTCCTGATGGTCATGATGATTGTGATTGTCTACAGGAAGCGGCGCAGGCGCAAGAAGCCGATGCCCGCCGACGTTATACCGGAGGCATCGCGCGGCGGCGACAAGCTGAACGAGCTGAAGAGCGAGCTGCGCGCCAAGGCGTACGATGTGGAATATTCGGAGGCCGGCAGCGACGGCCTGGCCATCAATCTCACCCAGACATGTCCGATGCCGGATGTCCAGATGAAGGGCGCCACTCTCGGCGTACCGCTGGCCGGGCCCGTTAAGTTCGACGAGCGCTTCTCCGGCGACTACAGCGAGCGCTACAATCGCCAGTGCCACATCAAGAATCTCAAGAACCAGCCGGAGCAGGCCTACAAGGAGACCACCAGCAACGGCTATGCGCCCTACTTTGAGTACGCGCTCGACTACAGTCCGCCCGCTGACAGTGGCAAGGCCAAGGGCGCCGCCGGTGGCATAAACTCGGCCACGCTGCCACACTTTGCGGCCAATGCGACCGGCGCTGCCACCGGCGCTGCCACCGCCAAAGCCGGGGGCGTGCCCCTCAGCGGTGGGGCCAGTTTGCCGCGCAACCAGCGCCACGAGCTCCACCACAATCACCAACAGCATCACCAACAGCATCACCAACAGCATCAGCATCAGCATCAGCAGCAGCAGCAGCAGCTAAAACAGCCACAGACATCGCAGGCTAACGGTTTTCTGGGTAAGTTCATAAGAACTAGTTCGCAAGGGGTAGTTCAATGCTGGCTCTCCAGCAAACATTACAACTAGTACGCCTAATTGTCAATCCACTTCCATTTGAAGTTCCACTGATTCCAGTTCATGAACTAGCTCAACACAAAAGTGAACTAGCACAAGTTCATGAACTAATTCTAACTAGACACAAATTTTAAAGTTGATTTTATTTGTAATTCATTTGAACTCCACAAGAATCCAGAATCTGCTTCAGTTTTTGAATGAACTAGTTCATAGAACTAGAACTGCTCATGAATCAGTTCATAAATCGAGTATCTAATAACCTAAACGAAACAGACAATAAATAACTGTTTATTTAATTAATTTTAGTTTGAACAGCAAATGAACTAGTTCGTTTTAGCTAGACACAAATTTAAAAGTTGATTTTATTTGAAATTCATTTGAACTCCACAAGAATCCAGAATCTGTTTCAGTTTTTAAATGAACTAGTTCATAGAACTAGAGCTACTCATGAACCAGTTCATAAATCGAGTATCTAATAACCTACAAGAAACACACAACAAATATGTTGTTAGTTAATTAACTTTAGCTTGAACAGAAAATGAACTAGTTCATTTTAGCTAGAATTGTATTAAAAATTCATATAAACTCCACAGGAGTCTAGAATCTGCTTTAGTTGTTCACAGAACTAGCTCATGAAGCAGTTCATAAATCGAGTATCTAATAACTTGAAATAAATACAGAACATATATGTGGTTACTTAATTAATTTAAGCTTGAATAGCAAATGAACTACTTCTTTAAACGACTATCTAATAAATGTCTCTCTCTCTCTCTCTCTCTCTCTCTCTCTCTCTGTGTGTCTCTCTTCCCCTTTAGGCCAACCACTGCTGCAGAACGGCATCGACAGTCGCTTTAGCGCCATCTACGGCAATCCCTATTTGCGCACAAACTCATCCATATTGCCACCGCTGCCACCGCCGAGCACCGCCAATCCAGCGGCCACGCCCGCCCCACCGCCCTACCATGCCGCCCGGCATGCCAACAGCAATGGCGGCCTCAAGCACTTCGGGGCCGGCGGCTACGGTGCGGCCGCCAGCATCAGCGTTGCCGGAGCAGCGGGCAGCGCTGTCGGCGGCGGCGTCGGCGGCGGCGGCGGCGGGCCGGGCAGCGTCAGCGGCAGCAGCTCAAATTTGACGGCCAGCAGCAATACGCTGGCGGCCACGCCTCTCACACAGCCATCGCTATGCGGCCCGTTGGGCGTGGCCGGGATGGGGGCACAGCAGAGTGCACAGAGTCCCTCCGGCCAGTTCATATTGCCCACAAATGGCAAGGGCGTAACACAGAAGGGGCCGCTGGCCACGCATGTCTAAGCAGTACGCCGGAACCAGCCGGTAGGCAAGAGGAACCCAAAACGGAACCGGAACCGGAACCGAAATCGAAATCGAAGCAGCAGCAGCAGAAGCCGAAAATGGAACCGGAACCGGAACCGGAACCGGAAACGCAGCTAATTAACGAGTATAACGCATATTTATTCAATTTGTATTCGTATTCGTATTCGTATTCGTATTCGTATTCGTATTGTCTAGACTCTAGATACTAGGGAACTAAGCGAGATAGAGAGTGTGAGTGTGTGTTTTTTTTTTCTCGAAAAGAATTTCGATTATATATAAAAACCGTATTGTGATTTATAGCGTTAATTATTTTATGGAAACTCGACAAAATAAAAATGCAGCCCAGCCAAGGCAAATATATATATATATATACATATAGATATATATATATATATATGTATATCTATCTAGTGAAAATTTTAAGCCGTTTGTTATTCTATTCGAGCGCTGAAACTGATGAGAAACAAAATTATAACATTAAAAGGAAACGTATCGAAAAAAGAAACTTTAAAAGTTCATTTTAACAACAAAATAAACCAGAGAATTGCAAAACTTTTCACAAAAACAAAATACAAATAAAGAAATATTTCAAATGAATATAGCAAAAGAAAAAAAATATATATATAAAATATGATGCCTGTAGTTAGTTCCAAGTAAAACGCAACAGCAGCAACATTTTCTAAGCCAAAATCTATTCAATTTTAGACTTAAATACAACTGCTAAACGGACTAGAGCAAATGCTAGTATAGCTTCAAAGAAAACCTAAAAAACAGAATAGAAATAAAAAAACACCCGATCAAGCGGCTGCGCGTCCTTTTAACGAACTAGTTCATATGACAAAAAAAAAAAAACCAACGACAATTCGCTCCAATTAAAACTCTTTTTCCTTTCGAAACTTATTTAACAAAATTGATTGAGAAGTGCTTTTAAATGTTTTAATAACTTGTAGTGCCGCCCACATATCATTAAAAAAAAAAAAAAAAAAAAAACCAATATATATATACTATATATATATATATACACTATATGAGGCCAGCTTGATCGGATGGCACAGCGTCAATGTGAAAACTTCAATTTTTTTTGTCCTAGCAACTAAGGCAAACAACTTTAAATTATGTACTTAAATGTAAAGTAAAAACTTTGAAAAATGATTAAAAAAGTAACAAAAAAACAAAGTAATACTAATAAGTAAAACATATTTGAAATATATATGTATTATGTGTATGTGTATATTGCTCGTATATATGTAGCGCATATGTATGTGTGTATGTAAGCCAGCTGGTTCAACGCTTAACTTAATTAACTAACTAGTTGTAATGTACTTAAATTCATAAATACTCAAACACAAATCGATATACCATATATATCTATACACATATATATACATATATATATATTAATGAGAGTGTAGTACACTGCGAGAAATTTTTTTTGTCTGCATAGTAAAAATACATTTAAAAAATAAGCAAAAGAAATTAATTTAAGACATCAAAAGAATTTTAAAACGTAAACTAGTAAACGAAATTAAACAAAGCTTAGAACAATTTGTAAAACACATTTGAGAGATCTACCAAAAAAGCAAAGAAGAAGAAGATGAAGCAAATGTTGCAGAAGAAGATGATATGTTTATTATGAAAACTCGAAAACCAAATACAACTGAAAACTGATTGTAAAACCATAAAGCGATAGAAATTTTTTGAACGAAATGCTGCCTTATGATTCCTTGTGAAATTTGTTGGATTTTTAGACAAACCTATCTGTGTGTGTTTAAGCCAACAACTAATTATACATTTTTTTTTTTATTTATTTATTTCTTTTTAAATATAATATATATATACATACGTATGAGTATAGTGAATGAAAATCGCTTTAAACGTTTTCTTCTTAACGTATTTTTTAAAACTAGACGAAGTTGCTTTTTTCGATTTTGTTGTGCTATTTGCAGAGCTTTTATGTTAGTTCATAAGAAAGTCATAGAGAATAAAAAAATAAAAAATGAAAAAAAAAAACAAAAACAAAAGAAAACTTTTGGGTAAATGTCAAGCGATTCAATTAAATGTTCAATTAAATGCAAAAACAAAATACAAAGTAACGAAAGGAAATTACATAAAAAAAATAAAAATAAAAAAATTAAAAAAAAAAAAACAAAACGAAAAAATCCTATTAAGCCAAGTAAATATGATAATTATATATTATATGTGAAATGCATGTGCAAGAAAATGAAAGAAAACGGAAGAATGAAGAAAACCGAGTAAAGCGAATAGCAAAATGTTGAAAGAGCAGCAAAAGGCAAGAAGAACTAAGCAAAGTGTGAAATTTCGTGTAATATGGAAATTAATTCAATTAAAACTAAGTCAAAAAACTCAAATTAGTTGAAATAAAAATCGAAAATGAAACCAAAAATTCAACATTTCTCATATTTTCAATAAAAACAATTATTATACTCCACGAATTGGCCCTAATATGCATATAGATGGCATATAATTAATGATCTCAACAAATCTGCAGAGGAATAAAGACCCGTTGCTCATTTTTCCAATTTAAGCGCATTTTTTTAAATGCATAATTCCAAAATCCGTACAAACGATAAATGTTTTCACTTTAAAGGCAGGACGCGACGTGTTATCGACTTATCGATTGGCCGCCGTCAATCGGCAAAAGCAACCTGACTATGCGCGTAGTTTGCCAGAGCGCCTTCGTGGGGCAATAAAGAAAAACAAGTATTTAATTTTTGCAGCCATTTTGAAATTGGAAAGAAATAACGACACAGCCAACAACAAGAATGCAAGCAAGTCGTCAGTCCAGCAGCGACGCAGGCGCAGTAGCTGAGAGCGCGCACATTGATGAGAGCAATCGGCTCTCTCAAGGAGCACAACATTGTAGAGCTCAGCTCGCTCAGACAGCAATGCACCTTAACTATGATTATGCTCTGAGTTAAGTGTTTCCCTATAACATGATATCAAATGTGCTCATTTATTTAGTAAAATATGTAAAAAAAAGTTGAAATAAATCTGAACACAACATGCATAAATATTTGTGACATATGCTGCAGGCGAAACATAAAAATTGCCTCTATTCGTAACATCAACTTTTGATAACTGGCATATGCGAGTGTCCAAGCCACTCTATCAGTCTGAATTCGCTCGCTCTCTTTATTTCGCTTGGTGGGCATTCGCCTTGCCATGATCACGGCTCACTGTGGTATGTTTCAAAGAGAGAGCGCGCGCGTGAGAGCAAGAGAGAGCCGGCTGGTTGTCGTTGTCTTTTTCGGGGGTTCAGACAAGCGACGCTCGTGAGCGCGGCTCAAAGTGTTGCGAGTCGTGAAACGAAACGGATATCGAGGCGGACAGTTTGCAGCAATTGAAAATTGCAATTGCATGGGATTTCAATTAAATGCTATTTTATTTTTTTTGAGTGCCTCCTCTCAACTGTGTATTTGTGCGTGTCTGTAGTAGTGTAAAGGCGACGTAAATTTAACTCGCACCGCAGGCAAAAGAAACGAAACGAAAACAACAACAACAACAACTAGAGGCAACAACAATATGGCGTTTAATACCGCCGCATGCAAAAATTGCAGCATGCGAATGCGGCATATAAAATAAAAATCGCTTTCGGGATCGGTATCGTCGGTCACGTTATCGAAATATTCAATATTCTTTTTTTGTTGTTTTTTTCCACTTGGTGGTCTGTGTCTGTGTCCGTGTCAGTGCAAACAAATAAATCAAGCTAAAGGAAAATAAGCGCAAAAAAGCACAGAAACCACAACGCGACTCCCCTACGCCTGTTTGTGTATGTGTGTGTGTGTTTCGCCGTGTACGTGTATTAACCCGTGTACGTGTGTGTGTGTGTATGTGAGAAAGGAAGCAAACCGTTTTGCCATCGCCGTCTTTGTCTTTCGTCTCTTTGAATATCATCGCCTGAGTTGAATTCAAAGTTTGTTGCGGTTGCGCGTGGAAATGTCGCCGTTGTCAGCGTCGACGTCGGCGTCGCTGCATACAACAAACGGCAACGCGCGGCACTTAATTGTTCTACTCGCCTGGCTGCAAAATACATAATAATAAAAGAAGAGAAGAAGAAGAAGAAAAAAACAACCAGCCGCAGAAACAAAAATTTAATTAAAAAAACCAAAAGTCAAAGTGAGACAACAACAAACTCCACACAAAATTACTGCACATACATCAGCAACAGCAACAACAACAACTACAACGACAAGCGAGCAAAAAAAAAAACTCAAAAGCATAAAACGCAAATCTTAAACTGGATTACAATGCAGTTGCAGCGCAGCAGACGTCGCTGTCGCGCACACAGAATTTGGATTAACGAAATGCTAGCGGGCGTCGCGCTGCTGCTGCCGCTGCTGGCGCTAGCTAATTTCAGCAGCGCCCAGGCGACGGGTAAGTGTGAAAAAAACAATGAATAAAATACAAAAAAAAAACTTTATTTTTGCATGCATATTGATTGAGTCTGCATTTTCGTGTTCTGTTCGTTTCCCTTTCTATTTGCCTCTCTGTGTTCCTTTTTGCCTTGCTGTACGCTGCTCGCTCCTGCCTGCCTGCCTGCCAGCCAGCCAGCCAGTTCGGACAGGTGGTCGCTCTCTGGCACTACGCTCTCCCGCTCTCTTTTTTCAGCGCACTCTCCCGCTCAGATTTTTGTGCGCACACACACTGCCTGCGCACCTTTAACTTCTTATATGCTACGGCACAGCCGCAGCCTTTCGTTTCGTTATATTCCATTTTTTTTTTACCATACATACACATGTAGTTTGTATGCCAGTTGACACTGTTATACAAGCGTTCGTATGTTTCTTCTGTCAACTTCCTGTAGCTTGTCGTGGACTCCCCGTCCCCAATCATAATTAGGCTCACTTGTCAAACTTTTGTGTACTACTATTTACACAGCACATAAACACACACACGCACACAAAGGCAGCAGAAGACGCAGCGCATGGCTCTTGTGTAGCGTATCCAGACTTCATGCAAGCCAAAAGAAAACCCAATATTTGCATATAAGCCGTCGCTGCTGGGGCTCGGCTCTTGTCTAATCATTGTGTCAACACACTCGTCTCCGTTTTAGGTCCCTTATGCTTGCTGGAGTGTGTGTGTGCGTGTGTACTTAGGCGTAGGTGTAGTTGTACCTCTGGTACTCTCATTGCCTTTACACATTTCAACTTTCCGGGAATTTAAAAAAAGAACGCGTTTTTTTTTTTTAGTTGGAACCCCTTAGACTGCATCGGAAATAATTAGCTTTTTTATTAGT